TTTTTTTTTTTGGGTGCACACTCGGGCAATCATTGTCCTTCTAACTAATATTCAACTAGCTAGTGATAAACCTATAAGAAGTCAAGTTTTAATCGATTGACATGAGTTTTCGTACATACCTTCTTCATGGTCATGATAGTTTGATGACATGATTCCTTTTCTGTTCAGCTCTTCTTTTTTCCGGTGAATACATGTTGAGATCGTTTCATCTAGGATTCGCCGGGCAATTTTAATGTTCTTTTCTTTCCCGATATTTAGCCATCTCTGCAACTTCAGAAAGCTTTGAGGTCTAATATGTCTGAAAAATATGGCTTCCTCTGCATCATCCAATGCCTTCGCGAATTCCACCTCTGGAAAATCAACGGAGAGGCATCCAGGGCTGTAGCCGTTAACCAACATACATATAGAATCGAAGGTGAATCTTTGGAACACATCTTGTAGGTCCACCGGACTCCCATCGGAGATGTGATCGAGGACCGGAATTAGCCTTTCCGCCAAGATTGACTGACTAGTCTTGACTAGAAACTGATGGAAACTATCGTGCTTCAGCAACACTTGAGCTGCTCTCCTCTGGCTCCTCCATAAATCGGAATCGGCGTTGAAAATTCCGTTCCCGAGGATGTCAAAGAACTCCTTGAACTCGGGTCCCTTGGGGAAATTGGAGAAGTTGGAGCTAAAGACATAATGAACATTACTTGGATCCGATGTGATCAACATGTCCATGTTAGAGAACCATGGACCTTTGAATAGGAAAGTGCAGTGAGTTTTCTGAAGAATTGCAGTGCTCCAATCGGGAATCCGGTGAGTGTTGAGGAGGAGATCCGGCAGCATGCCCACGAAAGGAAAACAGGTCGGAATAATTCCATCGTGCTTGGTTGCTAGGAAAACGAAAACAACAAAGCAAAGAATTGCCAAGAATACTTCAAAAACAGTAAATAATGACATGATTTCTCTCTTTCAATCCTTCAGCTCTTTTTCGATGATAACACCATACCTTTCGCTTTGAGGCTGGAAAAGGTAGATAAGGCTTATCCGTTTGGCTTCGTTTACTTTAGTTTGTATGTGGTTGTTTTTTATTATTATTATTATTATTATTATTATTATTATATTTTTTGTTTTTTAATTTGAGTTACATCTTTAATCCGACTAATCACTAGTTTATTACGTAATTTGAATAATTATAAAATTTTTTTTGAGTAATAATATATGAATAATTTATTTATATAATTTTTTTTTATAATTTTTTTTATATTATTAAGTACATATATATAATTTTGTAATTTAAATAAAATAAAAAATTAATCGATAATGGTCTAATCTCATCTCACATTAAAAAAAATATGATTATAACATATATATAAATGTAAAGATTAATCATTAATAAAATTTAAAATTAAAATTGAGAGAACTTATGAAAAAAATTGTGTAATAATAAAATTCTCTTAACCATTTTTCCTCCTTTTTTTTTTCATTTTTGGTAAAATGTAAAGAAATAATTGATGTCCCGCGAAGCTCATGTAATTATTTCACAGCCCCTTTTTTGCTATTTACTGTATTCGGGCAGTTATTTGCACTTCCAAATTATTTCTTTCTTCTTCCTTGAACAATCTTAAATTTCCAAACATCCCATACGAATTTAATTGCATTCAAAAAGGATTCATTTGTTTAAATGTTAGCTTCAAAAATCTAAATCAATAGAAATCCATGAAATTTAATTTCCACACCTTCTTTTGCTCCCATTCAATTGCACTTGATTTCTAGATGTAGATGTAGATGTAGATGTAGGTGGCACGGCCAAACATCATCCCATAAGCAAGTCGGCCTACCGTTACTCCCCAACCAAAATAATGGACGTCATCAACCCTCTCTTGTTAGGAAGAATCGAAACACATCAGGCTTCTAGTCTGACCAGTGGAACATGCCATTTCGTCTGCTTCTTTCACTTTCACGCCCGAGGAAGTGGGATTGCAACAACATTTCTATTGATCATTTTGGGCCAT